CCACTGAGCCTGGTCTTGTAAAGGTTCATTTGTGGAACTCTCACCTCTCAAACTGTATCTATACCTTGTGCCCTTCCTCCTTTCTTTCTTCCCACCCTCTCTCCTTTTCTTCCTTCCACAAATAATTAGTGAATAAATGCTATGTGTTAGGCACTGCCCTAGACATTGGTGGTGCCATCTTTAGCAAATTGGGTGCCAGCCCTCCTAAAGCTTATTATATAACAGAGGGGGGATGGCATTGATACAATAATCATATTAATGAGTGGGTTACTACAACTTTGGCATGTGTTCTGAAGAAAGGGTATGAACGTGTTGCTAGGGCAGAGCCTAACAAAAGATGACCTAGTTTAGGGAAATCAAGGAAGGTGTTCCCAAGCAAGTGAAATTTAAGGTGGAAGCCTTAAAGTTGAAGAAAATCTTGTGTGGTTGGAGCCCAGAAAAATGGGACAAAGAGGGGCACGAGCTGAGTTACAGGGAACCACATTATAGGTTCCGGTGTTCACTTTCAGGGCAAGGGAGAGAACCACTGCAGAGGCAGAAGTGTATTCTCCAATTACCTATGAATAACAACTGCTAATAGTAATAAGCTCCATTAATCAGAGAGGCTCTGGAGACATATGGAACCTCAGGCAAGTTATTTAAACTTGCTTTGCCTCAGTTTCCTGGTCTGTAAACTGGGGTAATAATAGTGCCTAGTTTTCAGGGTGATTGTAAGAATTAGATGAAATAACCCACATTTAGCACAGTGACTGACATGTGGTAAGTGTTCAGTTTAATGTTAGTTACTATTATTATTAAAATAATGGGTGACTTGCATCTCATTAAAAGTAAACAAGATCAAGAAGGACTGTTTAATAATTTTAAAACATATAAATACCTTTCTAGAGGGTCATACAGCATTCAGCAAGTTACATTAAGACACGTAGCTCTTTAGTGGTGGGGCTGGTCTTTGGCACAAATTTGTCTAACATAGGAAGCTGTGGTTTTGACCATTGCACAGTCATCCCCACCTGTCATTTTTAATTTAGGATGGATACATGTTACAAGAGCTGGTTCTGCTGGTAGATTAGACTGCATGCTAAAGGGAAGGGTCTGTGAGGAGTGGTGACCCTTATTCACACCATGACTAGAATGATGATCCTGATGGTTCATCCCATCCCATGTCAGTGGTGATGGTTTTAATGCCATAGTGAGCACCGTAAGCTTGATTCCTCAGGTGCAAGGTCACGAAAATGGGGAACCCTTTCCAGTTCTCCCAAGGGCCTTTCAGAAGCTTGAGATGATACTATTACAGCACCAAGCTTATAACGTACTTTTGTCATGAAATATTCAACATCTCTTGACGTAGGTAGTGTCAAGGCTCTCACTTTGCAAATAGGAAGCAGAGGCTTTAAAGGTTAAATATTTTGCCCATATCAGGAAAGTGATAGAGGCAGGATTTGAATCCAGCTCTGGTTGTCTAGACTGACCTCACCAAGCTGTGATGCTTGTTTTCATCCATCCTGCCCCATCCAACCCATACTTACTGGGCATACCCGAGGCCCTCTCTTTGACTCCTGACAAGGACCCAGGGTTAGTTGTGTGCAACTACGCATGTTGCTCAGTTGTACCTCTCCAGAGATTATTTGTATTTAGCTAGTGGTGTGCTGCATGTGGCTTGTACTGGCTCATGAGACCTGACTGTTAAATTTGCAGGAATTTTGTGAGCCAGTAGATGTCACATCAGTAGTTTAAAACTGGCCACAGTGGGAGTATTTACACCAGAGAAAGCGGCAAACCCTTTGAATCAGGGCTCCCCCACACTCTACTGTCATTACTACTACAATGGCTGTTAGATATTTACCAGCACACCACCAGGCCCTGATTTTTCATTGTCTTCTGTTAGAAAATGTTAGACATCGGGGACCACTTAGCAAAGAGTTTGGCAAGCACAGAGAAGCGTCTGCAATCATGCCTGCCAGGGAGCCACCACCTGCCCATTTTATGCTTCTTTCTGGCCCACTGCTCCAGCAGGACGAAGGATCATTCTGGGCCTACCGAAAACATGTGCACAGCTCCACAGGGGAAACAGATGCCAGAACTAACTCCATGTTAAAATGAAAGGCTCAACCAGCATTATAATGACAATAGGCATGGATATTTAAAGTTAGAAAAAAAACATACTTAATTTACAGAACTACAGAATTTGTCCCTGAGTAGGTAGAAGGACTGTTTTGCATAGGATGTCATAAATCTAGAATTTTAGAGCTGCAAGAAACATAACTTTACAAATGAGAAAAGAAAAAAGGAGCCAAAACCTTGAGAGGGGCAAAGATTAGCTCAGCATCACATGTCTCATGATGCATGTACATGTCTCCCCAACAAACTGGTATTTAGCCACAGAATCGAAGGAGTCCAGAACCTTGATGTTAAGCTCGACTTTAAAGAATTCTTTGTTGTTTACCTTCAATTGAAAATAAATATATTATTCTAACCTGCTGGCTCCCACAGGGACATAATGATGCCACAAACAGCTAATTTTTAATTACGCACCTACTAGGTGACAGGACTTCTCTAAGTACTTTATATGTTAACTTAAACTACATGAAATTGTTAATATCAGATCTTTTTTTAGCTACCAAATGGTGATTTCAAATAGTCCAATCTAAATACATTCTCTCTATTAACCTTTACCATCATCCCATGAAATGAATACTGTTATCACGCCCATTTTATGAATGGGAAAAATAAAGCTTTAATTTAAAAACAAAAAGTTTTGGCCTGGCCAGTAGCTCAGCTGGCTAGAGCATTGTCCTGATATGCTAAGGTTCTAGGTTTGATCTTTGGTCAGGGCACATAAGACTCAACCAATGAGTGCATAAATCGTGGAACAACAAGTCAATGTCTCTCTCTCTCTTTCTAAAAATCAATAAATAAACATTTAAAAAATAAAATAATTAAAAACAAAAAGTTTCTTTCCACATGTGTAAGTGCTATTCTTATTTATGGGTGATGCATAACATACTCTTGTGTACAGATTAATAGCCCTAAACAATGGCCCATAAATAGAGCATGAATATAAAGCCATAGATATTAGAAAACAAGAAATTTGATGATTGTCCATCTGCTACACAGCAGATTACATCTGCTATATTCTACACAAAAATGTTAGAAACCAGAGCTCAGTGCTCCCTGGAATGTATTAATTGCCCTGGAATTTTTTCATAATGCTTGAACAAAAAGGTAGAGTAATTTTACAACATTGTCATCTGAACGTTGTAATCAAGACAATTCTGAATCAAGACCATCTGGTTGTGTGATTTTTTGCAAATAATATTGTCTTGAATTCCCCACGAAACAGTTCACAAATAGCAATGCTGCTCAGAAAAAAATTAACACTAACTCAATTAGATGATGCTCTGTTGAGTCAGAAAAACACACTGATGAAAACTGTAAAATGGGCTTTAAGAAAATATTTAAAGGCAAATGACTGCTCTTTCACTATGAAGCAAGAACTTCTAATATTCTATGCACAATAAGAAATTGACTAATGACATATACTTTATCAGCTCTATATGAATCCTCCAAGTAAAAAACTTGCCTACTGGCTCTCTATTAATTTAACCAACAAATATTTACTGAGTACCTACCCCAGCAGCCTTGCATATGCTTTCTGAGTGATTGTTGATTGTTTTTAGTAAGCATGTGCTGACAATAAGCATGTGTTCTCACCTTTAAAAAGAGGCAGTACTATTTCACCTGACATTCCGTAACAGCCCAGCCTAAGTCAGGATTTCATTTCATCGAACACTTGAACACAACCCAAAGTTGTGCCTACAACTACTAAGTCTGATCCCAACAAGGAACTGGAGCATCTTTGTCTCAGACTGACCCCCTGATGTTATTTCCCTTCATTAGAATATCAGTGAAAACCCATGTCCAACTTCCCTAATGACAGGAAAATAATACGATGATAAAATAAGAAATCAACCACCCTTTAAAAATTTCTGGGAAAGACTAAACATGTGCTACTTTGTAGAAACAAAGGATTTTTTAAAAGAAAGCAGTGTTTGTAGACTTGTTTAGTCTTTGCAGTCGTTGTTTGGTGTGTGCAGTCCTTTCGTTTTATACAGAGAGAGCCTGGCAGAGCAGGTAGAGTCGTCTGTCCACGCTCGCTAACCCAGAGGGGAGTCAAGTGTGGTCTCCCAATCCCCTGTCCAGTGCTTTTTGTACTGAACTACAGAGTTTTGATCACTCATGTTGCTCTTGTTATTATTGACATTATGGAATGTAAGGATGCCTTCAGATATATAAAAAGACTGACTTAGCTAAGCAGCTGTAATCTTCCAGATAAGAACTGCTGGTCTGTACCACATAACACTTTGTGCACGATAACCCTAGTCTCCTGGGAAATTTTTAAGGAATGTAAAGGTTCACCACTGTGCCTTGCAAATTTTAGACAATTAAATGCCCAGAGAATATTTTCCCAAGCTATCAGGTGATGATCATGAAAACAAACAGAACTAAATTCATAAAATTGAAGACACCGAACCCCATCACTTAACCACCCAAAGAACTGGTTCCACCCAGTATAACATTAAGGAAACAGGGCACTATCATCACTCAGGTCTCAATGATTGCTGATATTTTTATTAATCTGAGTCCCATAAAATGTAACATAATTCAAATGAAATTTAAATTCTATCGTCATAACACTTGCCAAATAAAATATTACGATATAAACATTAAACTCAAGCTTGAAGGGGAAAATTGCTAATAAATATTAATTCTACTCTTTTATAGTTTCTAGAACTGAAGTCACCTAACACAACCACCCAACCTCTTGACTTTTCTCCACATTCTCTTCAGATTACTCTCATTGTGCTTTTTAGGTTGTTATAGCAAGTGTGTCTGTGTCCCATCTATCTTTACTTTATCCCATTTATTTCCTTCCTGATTCAGCCCCATCTGAATAGAAAATACTGTTTGAAAAAAGGCAAAACAGCAAAGTTCTTACATACCCCATGACGGTCCTCAAAGTATGCCAGGCTGGTTTTGGTTAAAACGAAGAAGCGGACTTTAAAGTTTGAGGGAGAAGTTCTTCTCTTTTGTTGGGATTTCTTGATAAGCTGTTCTTCTAGGAGGATAAAGTTGTTCATGATCCAGTTCTTGAAAAGCTACGTGCCTTGAGCATCAGCTCTCAGCACAAGCAGAGGAAACAGCTTCGGAGCAAGGAATGGGATGGGGAGGCAGTTGATCCTAAGAGAGTTGTTCAAAGGCAACTTGCCTCCAACGTTATCTTTCTATCAATGTTCAGTCAACATTGCTGAGCTTCTCTGATGTCAAAGGCCATAACCACATCCTTTCGAAATTCACAACACTAAGAGGCATAGGTAAAAAAAAAATACACATGCTCTTGGCTGTATGGTTTGAAAATGATATTTGAAAAAACTTAGAGTCAAAATGATATGAAGGACTAGAGTTTAATCTTTATGGTTCCTGGTTTAGCCCATCCAACATTAAGGCATGTAGCACGAGGGGTAGGAACATGGGCTCTGTGGCCAGTGGGCATAGTTTGTGTATTAGTTTCCTGTTGCTGCTGTAACAAACTATCGCAAACTCAGTGGCTTGCAAATGTATTATTTTTAATTCTGTAGTTCAGAAGTCCAAAATGGATCTCACAGGTCTGAAATCAAGATGTCAGCAGGGTTGGGGTCCTCCCTGGAGGTTGTCCAAGGTAGAATCTGTTTCCTTGACATTTTCCAGCTTCTCTGATTACCTGCATTCTGTGGCTCATGGCCCTCCTTCTCCATCTTCAAAGCCAACAACAAACAGCAGGTCAAGTATTCTGGTCTTACACAAGCACAACCACAATCCCATCTTCTGCCTCCCTCTCCTATACACAAGGACTTTGAGATGACCTCGCACCTGCCTGGATCATCTAAAATTACCCCTTTATTTTAAGGTCAATTATTAGTGAGCTTAATTGCATTTTATATCTTCATTCCTTTTTGCTGTGTAACCTAACATATGCACAGGATCCTGGGATCAGGACATGGGTGCCTGTAGGGGAGCCGTTATTCTACCCACCACAGCTCAAAACCTGGCTCTACTGCCGAATCAGCTGTGAGACTGCAGGCAAATTACTCAAGAGCTCCAAGCCCCATTTTTCCCACCTCGAAAAAGGAATAACAGAGCTCCTCCCCAAGGCACTGCAGGGCCACTTCTTCCAGTCTCATCTTATACCTTGCGCATGCAGTCTCACTCCAGCCCCCATGCATGCTGCTTAACGCTGCTTCGAACATCTGTTCATTTTGCTTAAAAACATCTTTTCTCTCTACTTTGCCTGATTAACTTTAAATTATACCACAAGTCTCAGTGTACATGTCACTTCCTCAGTGGAGTCTTCCTGATTTTCCTTAAGTCAAATCCACTAATTATACCCAGATGGCACCTTGTATGTTTCTCTTCATGCCACTTATGACAGTTGTAATTATACATTTTGCAGGGTGAATTTTGGATTAATGTCTGTCTCCCCAACTAATCTAGAATGTCCATGATGGTCAGGATTATGTGTGGTTTGGCTCACCATTCAGTACTCATCAACCCTCACAGTGCCTAGCACATAAAGAGGGTGATAAGAATGTGTTGAGTGAATCACCAAACAGGGTGGGACAATTAGAAAAGACAAGGAGCATAAAACACTTAAGAGAAATATATTGAAGTTTATTATTTTTAAAAATTTAAATAAAAGCCCATAGGAATCTCTCTGCATTACAGCTAGATAATTGCTTTTCTACCAAAACTCAGTGGAAAAGCAGTAGATCCTCCAGAATGGCATAATAAACAAAGCATGCATGGACTCTGAACACAAAGGTGTGTTGGAATCCCGGTTCTGTCACTTACTAAGCTGTACATATCTGAGTAAGCTACCTATCCTTTCTGATCCTTAGCATCCTTCCGAGGGTCCTTTTGAGAACTGAATCCCATAAACTCTGGGAATGGTGGGTGCTAGGTGTCTTGCTTAGAATTAGTATATGTTTGAAGTATAGTATGTAAGTTCCAATTCTAGTATGAATAACCAAGAAATCTCAGGGTAAGCAGAGATGGCATATACTGGGCAGAGATGAATAATGAAACAAAGCAATTATTATTGTTGTACAGATGTGCAATTATGTAAAATTTATTTTAAAATGTAAATGATCAATGAGCAGATTACAGCTTAGCTTTGTTTTGTACATTAGATGCCCCAGCATAATCAAGGCACTCAGGGTGGTGGGGGGTGGGGGACACACTTTAAATGATCCCTCCTCCCCGATTCTGGGGCTTTAAGATATTCTCAAAAGAAAGAGGTAGCTTTGTTGTTGTTGTTTTATGTTTTTTTCTTCTGAATATAGACCTGAGACTGTAGCTAATCTCCCCTTCTTCTAAGGTAACTGACTCCCAAAAAGTTACCTGGACATCTGGCCAGCCAGAATAAAGATAACATTTTTCAGCCATGTAATTGTTTTCTAGATAATGGAACATAGCAGAACTGATGAGCATAACTTCCAAGAAATGTCCTAAAGGGCAATCATTATACCATTTTTATTTTCTTTTTCTCTTTTCTTGCTGACTAGAGTATGGAAGTGATGGTTGGAGCTGGAGCAGCTATATTATATCATGAGGTAGAAATCATAAGGTGAAAGCAATGACACATAAGACAGAAGGATATTGGGGTCCTGATGACCTTGAATCTTCCATTCCAGCCTTGGAGCACTTTTTTTTTAACATATAGAAAAAAATTCTATTAACAATAGAATTTTTGTTAACATATAGTTAAATTAACATATAACATATGTTATATAGTTAACATAATTAACAATTAACATATAGTTAAAAAATTCTAACCCCCTGTTATTTTGAAGTTCTGTCATAAGCAACACACCTAATTTCAACTAATGCAATGCTATATTCCAAACTGGACTGTAAACTCCTTTGAGAAGGGTAGATTTGTACAGGTTTGTTCAGGTTCAAATATTTACAGACTTCACAAAGTATCTTCTGTGGGAAAGCAAAGTATCACCAGTAGGTATTGTGATAGGAACCTATTTTTTGCCAAGTCTCTGTGGAGTGCAGCCACAGTAATGGTATTCTTTCTCTCATAGCACCTTCAAATTCACTCACTGGGATTTGTCTCCATCCTCACCTAAATGTAACTTAAGATCCTAGTATTTTCCCTATTACTTTCAGGAAAACATCATGAAGATAAATAATCCTGTTGCTTTGGTTTAAAAAGTTCAATACACAGGTGCCAAATTCAAGAAACTCTTACTCATCAAAGGTGAAGGAATTTGGGTGAAGGAATAACCAGTCTATTATTCTGAAAACTGAGAAACAAGGAAAAGAATAAACTCTATGTCCATTTTTCCTAAGGAACCCTATCTCAGTTTAGTAATCAAATACTTAATAAGAGGAAGTCCTCAAGAGAAGAATTCCAGTAGATAAATGAGGAAGTGATAGACTATCACCACTTTGCAATGCTGATGACATAATGAACCTGGGCAACTCTCATTAATAACTACTAAAATCATTGTGTAAAAATCTACTAGGAAAATTTTGATTTATATACTAGACTGATAACACTGTAACATAATGATTAATCTTAACATCATACAAAGAGAGACAACTAGACATTCTATTTCCTGATGTGATGAAATAGGAAGCATAGGAAACCACCTACGCAGAAGTCTTGCCAAAAAAAAAAAATCAAATATGAATCTCTTTAAACCTCTAGATCTATATTCAAGTTTGCAGAAAGTACAGGAGATAGAAAACATGACAAATACATGGAGATGCAAGTGAACAAGTCCAAAGTACACAATGACCCATGTTTGCAACAAATAAGTCAGAGGAAGAACCTAGAGATTGAAAGAGACTTTTTAAGAGACATGTCAAGCATGGGATGATTTTGTTTTGATGTAGAGTCAAACTAATTGTATAAAGACATTATGAGACAATTAGAAATCAGAACACTGCATATTTGATGATTAGTTAATCATCATTATTAATCAAAATTTAATTGTTATTTTTAAAAGTGTAGTAATGGCACTGTTGTTATGATAAAGGAGTCTTTATTTTGCACAGAAATATACCGAAATGATTATTGATAAGATAATAAAATGTCTGAGATTTGCTTTGTTAGAATCCAGTGAAGAGGGAGAAATAGGTAGAGAAGAGGAAGAAAACTGGCCATGAGTTGAAAACTGAAGTGAGGGACTTCTGGTCAAGATGGCAGCATGGGTAGACATGGCTCATCTCTTACAACAACCAAATCAAAATTACAACTAAAATATAGAACAACCATCACTCAGAAATGTCAGACAGAGTTTAATAAAAGTCCAACAACTACAGAATTAGAGAAACCACATCCATCCAGACTGGTAGGAGGGGCACAGATGTGGAACAGGCTGGTCCCACACTCACATGTAGTGGATAAAAATCCAGAAGGGATATCTCAGGAGCAAGGAGTCCCAGCCCCACACAAGGCCCCTCAGCCCAGGGTTCCAGTGTCAGGAAGATAAGTCCCCACAACTCCTGGCTTAAAATAACAGCAGGGATTGAGTTGATGGGAGAAACTGTTGGAGCCCAAAGTAGTTCTTAAAGAACCCACACATTGACTCAGACTCACTCCCTTTGAGCTCCAGAACCAGGGTGGCAGCTTGAAAGGCACCAGTGGCATACTGGGAGAAACTGAAGTGTCTGACAAGCCATTGTCCCCTTTTTAAACCCCCCCCCCCCGACAGAGCCATACAGCTGGCAAGCAGGTGCCATATTTGAAACTCTATCAACCTGGCTAACACTGTTTGACCAACCTTGGAGATCTTCAGAGACTCTGCCCCATGCAATTTACTAGCTCACCCAAGATGCTTTTCCATATGAATGGCTCACCTTGGCTCATACTGCACAACTTCCTAAATCCTCTCAAACAAGAAACAGCTGGCCTCAGTGACCCTCAGGCCTGGCACTAGCAGCAGCCAGTCTATATTCACAGCTTGGCTTTGCCTGGGAATCTCCAAGTCCAGCACAGGTAGCAGCCTTCTCATATTACCTTATAGCTCAAGCAGGGTGGTCTTGGGCAAAACACAGATAGGGGCTGACCTTGGCCAGTACCACCAGAGAAACTCCAGGGCCAGCACACTCTGTGGACAGCTACAACTATGTCAGAGCACCACCATCCTGCCCCTGCAATGCTGATCCTCCATGGAGGTAGGATGTTTGTGATCACAGCCAGTCCTTGCAGCTGACTGGCCTGGGTAAATCACTCCAATTGATCTG